GAATCAAGAAGCTGCCTGTCTGAGCTTACCATTGGATTGACTAATTGATTGATACAATTAGTCAGAAGCATAGAAGTCAGTGAATAATGAGTAACGGTGAAACAGCGAGATGATCATCAAGAAAACGACAATCTCTTCACTGCCTACATACTAGGGGTTATAGAGGGTGATAAATAAGTTTGAGGTATTGGTAGTAGAATTTTCAGTTGGTTGTCAGCGTTAGCACTTAGAATTAGGGGTTTCAATCACCAAATGACATCGAGGACAATGTCAAAATATAATTCAACCATTTAGAGGGATAAATTTCACGTCAAAATCCATCAATTGTGATTGTTTCGTTCAAACATTCGAGTCTCACCATGAAATTTTATTACTTAGATAATGTTGAGCTTATCGCTTCATCTGTTCGTTATTTCGTTATCCAGCCTCCTCCACTTGCATTGGATGACTGGGAGTAGGTGTGGTTGCTCATCCAGAGCTCTGTTTTTTTGTCACAAAAATGTCTGCAATTAACGAGTAGGAATCCCCTATGGACAAACAAAAGTTCCGATTTATTACCTCACACAACAATGTGTCATAATGATAATCTTATATCCATAAAAAACTACAACCAAACTATCAGAATTCAAAATAATTCAAATGAGGCAAAGTATTATATCAAGTTATTCATTTTAACTAGACATTTTTCTGTCATTTATTAAAACTTGCAACTAACTTTGATGTATTCCATTGACAGTTACTTTTAAATAAAAAAAACAAAACAATTTTGATTGATTTATTTTGACAAATCACTTAGTTTTTCATTTAAATCGTATTCATTTCTCAAAAATAATTACGTTATTCCACACGTTTCTGATCAATTTGAATAAGTGTAATTCGATTACTTACGCCTGTTATACCCACGCGCCCATTGGAGCATAGACCACCGACCAGCATTCTCAATGTGTGTGTCCTATTTACCTCTAGTGCTTCTTCCAGATTTCCTCCTTTACTGGATGAAATCCGGTTTATTCTCTTCCACAGTTGATTGTCGTTGACGGAATGTTCGCATACATAAATCAAGACCACTGAGGAGCCCCAGGGGCCTTGAGGTTAGGCGTTCGCGCGCAAACCGAAAGTCCTGCTTTCATTTTCAAATATCGGGATAACTGGATGATTGTTTCGTTTTAGTTTAGTTTTCCTCACAACAATAATAACAAGTACCCTATTCCGAACTAAATATGATACCTTTTAGCTCCATACTCAGGGTTTTCCTTTATTTAGATTGCGGTTATGGCCAACAGATTCAGCAGTTTACATTTTTCAACATTGATTGACTTTATTCTACCGTACCGTAACTTCTCACAAGAAGTGTAAAGATGTATCTCAAGCCTAATTAAACTAATAGTGCAGTGAACGAGAACACAGGTGGGACAACCGGAAATTACAGAGTTACTCAGTAACATCGGAAAACCATATCGTAAATCGTTCATTTGCAAAATATCGGTTCATCATATCGAACTGGACTGTTGTTCCTGTTGCAAAACATCAATCCATTGCCACTCACTATTCATGCGTTTTATACAAATTCCACTGTTTTCTAACTCTTCCTCCTTTCTTGATCTTGCCCCCATCTTCTGCTGCCAGACATTACGTTGACACTCACGTCATATACTACTTATAAGTAGCTCACACCACAGTAGGTGTGTTATCATTGTTATGTTTATAAATATTTGTTCGGCTGTTTGTGGTCACTGATTTGTATTTGTTTGTCTATTAACAGCAAAACAAATTATTACTGGGTTGTGAAATTAAGCATTTCTATAAAATACATGATTATTTTAAATAAAAAACACTACTACTACTACTACTACTACTGATAATAATAATCAGTAGTAATAACTTGCGGCCATCATGAACGCAGAGTACTTACATTTTTTTTTATATTTTATTTAAAATAAAATTACCATAACAATCAGAAAAAATTGAATAGATTTTTCGTATATACCCGTAAAATAAGAAATAATTTTTAATGACACACCCTACAATATATCTGTAATGCAGAAACATTGAACAATGTACACTAATTGAACAATTGAATGCAAGTTCTTTGTTTTATTTAGTTAAGGTTAAAAGCTTCTTTATCGATCGCGTTAAGTTTTTTCTTTTTGTTCTTATAAAGTTCTATTTCTTATGCAGATCATTGTTTTTTTACACATGACTAGTGGAGTTTCACCCTATCCGGGTGTAAGCAGTAAAAACTACCTGAAGACAAATGAGTGAGGTCACGCAAAATTCCTAGATTGATCAGAGTTAGACATTAACATCGTTGGATTCCAGCACAGTAGGTCCTGGGTTTGAACCTCGCGAGTAGTAAGACGGCTGATGAGTTCCACACCAGGAAGAAACATCTATGCAGTGCTTCCAGGTTTCTCATGGTGGTTTAACAATAAGTGATTCATGTTTTCTATCTGTTATGGAGAATAGTTACAGCTTCACTAATGTTGAAAATAGAACAAAACGGCTTGGGTTTATTTTATTTTGTACTCAGACATAGGTTGTTCTCAGCCTATACAGGTCACATTCATGAACAAACTAATTCGCTGCTTTTATTTAATAACAACTAACTAATCAAATCACAGTTATTTTGCTTATTCTGTGGGTCATACAGTTTGTAAACAATGCTGTTGCTTCACATTCTGGCAATCGATTTCCATGAATATATACAATCACCTACATAAAGAGAAGTGATCAGGCTCGGCAAGTAAGAGTGGATGCACACAGGCTATAAAAACAAAAGTCAAATAAGACTACACTTTAGTTTTGTGAACTATTTGGTTAAGAAGTATTTTTAGTGTTGATATCAAGTTACTCGAAGTGGTGGCCAAAGTCCTATGGGGGCTTGTTTAGTGAAGATATGTGTTTAAAAACAAATGATCAGATGTTTTAAAAAATTTATTGCCCTTATTTATCAGAGAATTCTGATCATTTTCATTTCTCATTGCATTTTCTAAATTTATCGGAAATATGATAGAATATATTTACATTATTGACTGATAGTTCAACTTTATAGCTTATATAACAGTAAAGTAATATTTCCTTAGTCTCGTTTTGCTACTTACCAGGAAACGATGCATTATTTAACTAGCTTCATTTCACTTATACCTCATGTTTATAAAAAAAAATCACATTTGTAATGTATTTTCTCGTTGTAAAAAGTCGTTTTGAACTTTAAAATTTATAGTTATTACTGATTTTTTAATTTCTTTCTGATATTAGATGGTTGGAAGTAGTTGGTAGGAAAAAACCACTGCATGACTTTAGTTTTCTGCTAGTTGGTACTCACCACTAAGGCGTACCTACAATCTTTCGTCAGTAAAATGACCCACATCATATGAAAGCTACACACAGTCAAGCTATTTGTGCAGTGATCTTATATTTGAGAACTGCAGAAAATGGACACTATTTACTCAGCGATAAATTACTTACTTACTTACTTACTTACTTACTTACTTACTTACTTACTTACTTACTTACTTACTTACGCCTGTTACCCCCAATGGAGCATAGGCCGCCCAACAGTTTTCGCCAACCAACTCTGTCCTGGGCTTCCCTCTCCACTTCTGTCCAATGTTTGTTCATTCCTCTCATATCTTTCTCTATTTCTCGGCGTAATGTGTTCTTTGGCCTTCTTCTTTTCCTTTTGCCTTGAGGGTTCCATGTGAGGGCTTGTCTTGTGATGCAGTTCGGTGCTTTCCGTAATGTGTGTCCTATCCACTTCCGCCACTTCTTCTTGATTTCCTCCTTCACTGGAATCTGGTTTGTTCTCCCCCACAGTTCGTTGTTGCTGATGGTGTCTGGCCAACGAATCCGAAGTATTTTGCGTAGACAACTGTTAATAAACACTTATATCTTCTGGATGATGGCTGTCGTAGTTCTCCAAGTTTCCGCTCCATCCAGTAGAACTGTCTTCAAATTTGTATTGAAAATCTTGATGTTGGTTTTGGTTGAAAGTTGTTTGGAGTGTCAGATATTTTTCAACTGTAGAAATGCAGCTCTAGCTTTGCCGATCCGCGCCCTCACATCTGCATCGGATCCACCTTGGTTGTCGATGATGTAAAGTTGTTAATGTCCTCCAAGGCATCTCGATCAAGAGTGATTTGGTTGGTGCATGTTGTGTTGCATCGGAGAATTTTGCTTTTTCCTTTATGTATGTTGAGAGCTGCTGCTACAGAGGCTGCTGCTACACTGGTCGTCTTCTCTTGCATTTGTTGTTGCGTAAGCGACAGAAGAGCTAGGTCATCTGTGAAGTCCAGTTCTCTCTATATGAGTACAGAAACATTTTGTGGTAACCTTGAATTCACCCTAAAAATATTTAAGCCATTTTATAACCAAGATTATTTTAACCATTTCTTATTCTTTCTAAACTATGAAAAAGGGGTAATATCCGAGAATTTGGCAGATAAGATTGTTGTTTGTTAAACTTTGTGAATTGAACGACTTCAGATATTTTTTTTAAAAAAACTAAGACCAACTTAAGAAATCCATGACATTTTTTATATGAATTAATGGGGACTAAGTTATACTGACGAAGAAAGAATGTTTCAATGAGGCCTGTGAAGCAAATAACGACAATACAAAGTCAGTAATAACAATATAAGTCGACTCTTCTCTTCACGGCTGACTGCTAAACGAAAGTAATTTTGAAGGGGGAATGTACGATTCCGAGAAAACATGAAAAAATGACACTGCGAATAGCCTAACAATCTGTGAACTACACTAATTTTATTGTGTAATCAAAACCGAAGTAATTCACTCTCACTGTTTCTAATGGAGAGTGCTGTAAAAAAAAATGAATACGACTGTAGTACTTTAGGATTTGAATTAGCTCTACTCATTCATAAGACAGAAAACAAGTCTTTTTAAGTTTGTGATGTTTGTATTTTGTCTTCACAATAAAGAATACCTCTCTCTGTTACACGTGTATAAATTATATTTTTTTAAATAATATTTTTATTTAGAATTATTGATGAATCACCTCCAGCTTACGAAGATTTTGATAAATATCCTACATTAAGCAAATATCAAACTCCTCTAAAAGACTCCACTCCAGTTAAACCATGTACACAACAACCTCGTCAATTTGCACAACGTGAATTTGACCAATTTGTCAATGCATCCACAGTTTCATGGAGAGAACCATATCCAAAACCACAAGGTGACCCACCACCGGCTATGTTCAACTGGCTACTTAATCGATTTGATTCTTTTCGTCAAAGTATCATGAGTCGTTTATCCAATCAAAGTAATCAAAATCGAGCATCCTCAGTGTTCAGTACACATAGTGAATCTAATTTCGTTGTTTCCTCACCGGTCAGTCTTCCTAGACTTAACAGTCATCCAGAACCTTCGAATTCACTGCCTCCTCCTATACAATCAACTGAGATAATGGAGTCAAATTCTTCACAGTTAACTAACAATTCAAAAGTAACACGTTCACCATCATCAACTTCTGAATTCAGTACAATATCGATAGATTGTACAACTAATGATGGACAACATATAATAACAGTAACTTCTGCATCACCTAATCATCACCAACAGAATAATAATCAAGCTGCAGAGTCTAGTTGTATTGATGTACTACTACAGAAGAAAAGTGTAATAGAACATGATTCCGATATAGAACAAGTGGATACATGTCAAACAGATTCACAAAATGATAACTACAATGTTACTACTAATGATGAAATCAATCAATCAGTCGTCTACGATTGATGATTAATCAGTAAATATATTTTTTTTTTAGGCCATAATAATAACATACTTTTTTTTGTATAAAATGTAAGTGTATCATCACTGAGATATTCTTTTCTATTCTAAAAGAATTCTTAAAAAATTTTTTTTCATATTATTTCTAGAAGTGATTGATATTTAGTGTTTTATTATAGTCTTGTATCTATCGTTTTCATTACTCTGTCGGAGTTTGAGTTTTTTGTCAGTGAATTTCGAACCGTCTCATAATTTTACACGTGATTTCTAGTCACTGTTTCAAAGAAATGAAAAATAATCATAGTATTTAGGTTTTCATGAACATTAGTATGCTAGTCACTAATGAGCATTCACCGTAAACAATGGACAGGATCACTCAATAATACCGTTGACTGAAGTTGAAGTTAAACAGTAACACCATTTGAATGCCCACTCAGCCAGCGACCTAGAGGTTATGCGTTCGTGTGAGACCGAAGATCCTGGGATTTATTTCAGCTCACGGGTTCGTGACACACACTGCTAATTTTGCACATTGTTGTTAAGTGATTAAGGCTACCTGATGATGATGATGATGTGTTTTTCTTAAAACTTTTATTGTTTACTGGATATACTTCCCGTTGACTGAATGATAGTATTTGTGGCATCATTGAAAAATAGTATGCATTGAACATCGATTTCATTTGATGACATAATTTTTTCAGGAATACATATCTACAAGTGATATTGTCCAATATCAAAGCTACTGTATTCAGTGCTAAAGATGAAAACATTTTCTTTAGACCACTAGGTTGAATTATAGTCACGACTCAAGCGCAACTCACTGCAGGATCTCAATCTGGTTGTCTACACTGGACTAGGCTGTGGCCTGAAACTGTTCTAGGGTTACCGCCGGTTCAAAGCCAGGAGGAGGGTTGGGCATGATGCTAGCAACTCCATCCCGTAGATATATATATATATATATACATATATATATTTTTGAAAATACAAATTCAATTGGATTAAGCAACTATAAGGGGATAAAAACATAACCTTTACTCCCTTTTCATCAAAAAAATATGTTTGGTTATATTGAAGACATGGATCTTTGTATTGTTATCAAGGATAAAAAAGCAATTCTTAATCATTGATTTTTGAATGCATTTTTCAATCAATTGGTCAAAAAATAAAATGAATGAACTTATCGGAGTTCACTGAACCAAAAAAAATTTTTGAGCAAAAAGAACTTCATTTTCCATTATTGCGGATATCAAACATACATTAGTTCTACGTGTTGACCGAACCATGTCATTTGAAGGTTTTTTCTCTTGTTGTGGATCTTCCCGAAGTTCTTTTCAAATACAAAAAATAAAGGATGATTTATCAATAAAAAAAACTTTTATATTCAGGAGTCTTCGATATTCACTAAAATCTTGAGCATATATATATATATCTGCATTACGAGGTTGTGAAGATTGTTAAGTTACACATTTTTGAAACCACGAATCGATCAATCTTAGACCACCACCATTAGAAACCTGGAAGCACTGGACGGTTTTAAAAATGTGTAACTTAACAATCTTCACAACCCCGTAATGCGAATTACCTGTGCTCACTAGTGACTAGCTTCGTGAGGAATCTTCTCCGAGTTCTATTGGGAAGACGTGACCACTGTGAAGTTCAACTTGTTCGGGTGTAGACAGTAACTACCAAAGTCTGTGTATGAGGTTGCTCAAATCCGTGAATTTGATTAAGTTAGACATTAACACCGTTAGATACCGGCTCAGTGATCTCGAACAATACCGAGTTCGAATCCTGCGGGGTGCAGGAGTCGTGGATGCGCACTGCCACTGAGGAGTCCCATACCAGGACGGGACGGCCGTCTTTCAGTACTTCCAGGTTTCTAATGGTGGTGGTCTAAGATTGATCGATTCATGGTTTCAAAAATATATATATTTATATCTGTCGTTTAATTTTACTTCAATCTAAGTTGATATTAATCGATGTAGATGGGAGCTTTTTAAGGATCACAAAAAAAATTTTAAAAAAGCGCTGTGAAATGTTCATCAATCAAATATATGTAACCCCTTTTGATTTTTTTTTTCAATTTTCGCTCTTTTATTTCAAGCAGGTTCTCTCGTATGGAATATGGCATACACATGATGATGATGTTGCTGTTTTAATTCACACACACACACACACACAGTGTAATTATTGGCAATTTATTCAATATGAACAGAGATAAAAAAATATTGTTGACACAGTATGAAATGAATGAATGATTCATGTAAATAATTTGAAACAAAAGAACAACTTTGTTCAATCGTCAATTTACGCTCAATAAAATGCTTTATTGTATTTTAATGTTGGTTTGAGTTAAAATGTATTATATTCTCTCCTCTTTTATTTTTGCTGACAAATTATGTTTTCTATGATATCTTATCATGGTTTATTTGAAATTATCACTCTGTCAATCTTACTCTCTCTCTCAATCTCTCTATCTAGTGTAATCGTTTGTTGTGACTAAATCTTGAGTTCTATTTTTGTTTATAGAAGATACTAATTTTTCTTACATATATACATAAATAAATGTACGTACAATTTCTTGTCTCTCCACTTTTACTTACTACATTTTGCTAATTAGCATATGACTATTATTATGTTAGTGGTGGTATTTTGTATAGTAAGTAGTTCATACGATGGAGGTTTTATCAGCATATATATATATATATATATATATATATATATATATATATATACATATATATATATTAATAGTAGTAGTTTTTAACAAAACCACTTAGGAAGTTGTTTCAATGTAGCCGCCGCCGCCAACACACATTACCAGACTACGCTATTATTGAACATATTTGCATTTATCAATATTGACTTTTGATCAATGTATTCATCATCATTTGTATTGTGTTGTTATTTCATTGTAATAAACGTTAACATCAATAAGAAAACACAATAATGTATACACATAGTGTGTGTGTATGTATTGGGGAAAAATTTCTTTTTTCTGATGTAATAAACCACTAAAGAAAAAAATGCTTTGTATTTTCTGTTTTGTTTAGTTGAATTCATGTTTCTTTATGAGTTCTATTCGGTGAAGACGCTGACAAAATGTAGTGTCTTCTGACTACCATTAGAAACAATGCAAGCATGTTCGGGATGTGGTTCTCACCCTCGAAATGCAAAATGTTGCTTCAAGATTGGGTTGCATCGGCATCTGAACTAGTGATAGGGAGTGAAGTAGTCGAGCGTGTTGATCACTTCACTTATCTGGGGAGTCTCATCGGTGCTGATGGCCTGGTGACTGAGGAAATCTCAGCTCGGATACAGAAAGCTCGATTGGCTTTTGCCAACCTGCGTCACTTATGGCGTAGGCGAGATATCCGTTCGCTAACCAAAGGATGGGTGTACCGCGCAGCAGTTGGCTCCGTTCTTTTACGTAGCTGTGAAACATGGCCAGTGAGAGTAGAAGATGTTGGTAGGTTACTAGTATTCGATCATAGATGTTTAAGAAGCATTCCTCGTTTACCGTGGGACATCCGAGTAAGCAATGCTATAGTTAGGGAGTTACGAATGCCTAACCAGCGACTGCCTCGACGAGCTATGTTTTGTGGTGTAGGAGTAGGTTGGAAGAAAGTTAGGGACGGCCGGACCAAAACATGTCAGAAATCCATGAAGTCACTGACTAGTGGACTGATTCATGTTGGTAGATGTAGACTACCTGGTTGAGGTCCGCGAGACGAAAGTCACCAATGGTTAGAGACCTTGAATGACATGGCTCAAAATCGTTTGCTATGGCTTAAGTGCATCCATTCGTTGTGCTCTCTCAATTCCTAATCTTCTGGATTCGTCAACACCTTAACCTTTGTCTTTCTAACCTTATTTCACTAAATTATACTTCTTGAATAATATTTTCGAACCCTAATCTTCTTCATTACCATTAATATCTCTACTATCTCTATCACTATGGGATTTGATTTGACATTTGCGTCTCTGTGCTAATAATGTGGTATGGCAACATGAACTTATGTACATACGTACGAAGTTCTACGTTGCAGCTGACTGACTGACTGTTTCTTTGTGTGAACAGAAAAATGAGTATGAGAATTTTGTTAAGCATAATTTTTTTTGATTGTTTTTTGTCCTGTGACTGACTTAGTTGGAATGAACACAAAATTAGGGTTGAAAATTATTTCGGGTTTATTTTCTGTTTTTTTGTCTTTAGTACATTAAATTTTTAATCTTCTGTAAGGTGAAGTATAAAGAGGTCTAATTTTGTAAGCCACAATGCAAACTACTACTTATCTGCTTAGTTATGCCTGTTACCAACCATAGGAGCATAGGCTGCCCACTTGTATTCTCCAACCTACTCTGTCTTGGGCCTTCCTTTTCTAGTTCTGTTCAATTTTTGTTCATTCTTCTCATGTCTTTCTCTGCTTTTCGGCCTAATGTGTTCCTTGGTCTTGCTCTTTTCATTTGACCTTGATAGTTCCAAATGATGGCTTGTCTTGTGACGCTTTCAGGCGTGCCTTCTTTACTGTGTCTCCTATCTACTTCCAGCGCCTTTTCCTAATTTCTTCCTCAGCTTCAATCTAGGTTGTTCTCTCCCACACTACGATGTTACTGATAGTGTTTGGCCAAAGAATCCGAAGTATTTTGCGAAGACAATTGTTAATAAATTCTTGTATCTTCTGGATGATGGCTTTGGAAGTTCTTTAAGCTTCCACCACATACAGTAGAATTGTCTTGACATTTGTATTGAAAATTCTGATTTCGGTGTTTGTCGACAGTTGTCCGGAGTTCCGTACTTTCTTCAAGCGTAAAAATGCAGCCCTTGCTTCGCCGATCCACCTTACTGGTCAGTGATGCTCCCCAGATGTGTAAATGTTTTTACAAATTTTAGAGCCACGCCGTCAAGTGTGATTTGGTTGGTGTATGTTGTGTTATGTTGGGGAATCTTTCTATACCCTTTGTATATGTTCAGACCGACTGCTGCTGAGGCTGCTGCTATAGTGGTCGTCTTGTATTATTTGTTGCAATAGAAGAGCTAGATAATCTGTGAAGTGCAAATCGTCCAGCTGCATAGGAGCTGTTCAATATATCCCTTACTTCTTCCTAGATGTTGATGTTTTCATAATCCAGTCGATCACCAGAAGAAAGACAAATGGTGAGAGTAAGCAACCTTGTCTAACACCAGTCTTTATTTTGAACGAGTTGGTGAGCTATCACATTGTACATGAAGTTATGAAATTCCTGTCATTAAACAGATAAACCTGTTCTTTTCTACTTTTTCCAAAATATTTTATTGATTACTTTGCTAAATTTTAAGTAATATCATCTCTAATGTCGATAAAAACCAATCAAGATTTGGGCCAACAGAACTACATACGAGTCACATGCAAAGAATTTAGAATACTTTACTTCTAGCTGAAGTCTGTGCTGATGATGTCGTTGTTCAGAAGAACAATGAAAGCTCCACAACCAAAAGATCCAGCTCACAGAACGAAACTCCATCACAATAGTCCACCTGAGCTACAAATTTTCACCACCATAGCAAATATTTTAGAGGTAAACAATAATCATAGTGATGAAAATCGATGTAAATATCACAAATCTTACGCTTCGTGAACTGATATATATCCAATGTATTACAGTTGAAGTAAAAATGTGTAATCTTTGAAGCTATAAATCGTGGATGTTGAGGTCGAATGACTATGATCATATCTTCCAACCATTCGCGTTCGTGTCTCAAGCATAATCCTATGTTGAATTAATAACAAGAAAGAATGTATATTCAGATAAAATAAGTATATTTGTTGGTTACTTCGTGATGTCGAAAGAATACTGAAGTCGTGGCAGAGAAAATAGGGCGGAATGTACAGAGTAGCAAAAGCGAGATGGCGGTCGCACAGAAGGAAAGTCGGGTACAAAAGTATGAATAAACAAAATGTCCGATCAAACGTTCACTGGTACAACTGGTTACAATGATGAATATTTATATTTAACCGATCGTGTTCTTTTCAGAATAGTAAAATCACTACAACAGTAATGATGTTAGAAAATATCAACAAAAAACTACAGTGTAATCATTAGCACAAACGTATTTTCAAAATCAACTAACCCTATGCTTGAAGAGTTTGAAATTGAAAGAGTCACATATGAATGGTGAACATCTTATCCATGAATTTCCCAGTCACTAGCCAATACTCCTCATGATATAATCCTTACATGTCTTCATTTGGTATGTCAACGGTAAACCCGGTAGAGGTAAGAGGTACTATAACAACGTACATTGGAATATTAATTAACACACGATAAACATCAGTATATTGTTCCTAAGCCAATTACTAAAAGCTCACAAACCATATCCATTCAATACGGTTCACAGTAGTAATCAGCATGACTGCAACATACGATAATTAGAAGACTCACTTGCAGAAACTAAAGATTAACTTAACTAGTGCACACCCCTGATGCACATATGGGCCTCAGATAATGACAAATATCTTGAGGAACTAACTTAAGCTGAATATATCTTAGAGTTTGTAACTGAAGAAGTCACGAAACGTGTTTTGTTTCTACAAAGCTTTTGCGAATGATCAGCTTGACCGCACATCCCATACCAAGCTAAGGAATACCAGCCTTTGTGCATGTGGTATGCTAAGCGTCAATTGCCAAGTAACCTGGATAAATTAGAATGCCCGGTTTTGTTTGAGTAAAAATATTAGATCATCAATCCCACCTATGAACATAAAGGTCACTTCTGATCTAACATCTTGTCAACATCGTATAAAATGGCGAGAGGCGGAGATCTCATATCTCTGTCACAGAACAATCAACTTAAGTTAACTTCCATGCTATAAATAATAATAAGCACATCGATTACAAATAAATTATTAATAGGCATGTGAGAAATCACGCTTTAGGCATCGACGAGTCGATAGACTTTATATGTATAACGATACCTGCATTTCTAACCCCAGTATGTTTGAACCGTAAATTGCTTGAATATGAGCCACAAAACATCACACAACCGGTAAGAGCATGTAGTGGAATACTTTTACGAAGAGCACACGATCGGTATAATGGAAACATTTATTACTGTAACCAATTGTAACACTGATTTTTTTACTTTAATCTGAGATTGTGACTCGAATACCTACCAGCTCACATTCAGCCAACGATCACGGCTCTGCTAAAGGACACACCATTTACCCAGGTTGTCCTCACAGCAAACAAAATTTTAGCGAGACAGCTACATAGTTGCCTCAACCTCACGCACGAACGTAGACCTTGACTCTAGTCTCTCCACAGCTCAAGGAGACCAGGGGTTGCTGAATACATAGCTGTTTCAAGTTCCGAAACTGTTCTATCATTCCAGAACCCCGTGTACCCAAAGCTAGGCCATGATCACGTAAGGCTGTAAGTTCACACACCAAACTGGCACCTTCCAAGCCACTCCAAAAGGTGGCTTTGGAAGCGACGAGAGGTTTGTGCTGGTTTCACCATATCTTTCGGTCCGGTGCCCGTCACTGTCGAGTCCCTTCCTAATACAGGGAGAGAAACCTCCATGCCGGCGAGTAAATGTGGCTGTATTTGCCAGCTCCTCACCTCAGGTTGACCACTTATTTAACTTGCACGATTACCTCACTAACACTAGGTACCTAGTACACAAAGGTGCACATGCTTCTGTCGTACCAATTGGTAACCACAAGTCTGAAGCTACGATGTTTCGACTGCGCGCTGCAAATGGCCTAGTCATTCCTACATATGGTACACGACAGCTGAAGTTCAACCTGAATAACCGACGACAGTATATGTGGACTTTCATCCTTTCCGATGTTCCCGCAGCCATACTTAGTATCGATTTCCTACAGCACTATGAATTGCTAGTCGATTCACGTAGACTACAGTTGATCGACACTTCGTCGAACAGCTAATTCATGAGCTTTCCAGCACAAACAAACGCGTAGCGTATCACAGGTGTATTTCGTTCGTGTGATGACATATTCCATGCTTTACTCGAAAAGTTCCCCC